GTGGGAAATTCCTTATATAAAGGTATTCTGTAATTTAGATGTTCTCCTAGAGTCACAGCTCCTGCTTAAAGCTCTGTCTTTTCCCCACCCCTTTAATAACTCCTAATAGACCTATGGGAAGAAAGACATAGATAACAATTCCTCTCCATATATACATGGCTCCTGGCAGACCCTGCCATGCACGTCAGCCTGTGCAAACGACTTTAATTGGGTGCACGCTGCATGGCTCTGAAATGCCAGGTGCTGAAATTCTCTCTATAAATTTCAATCTGAGAATGTGACATGCAATCCATTTCCCAGATACTGGAACATTTTTGTTGATTAGCTAAACCCTGCCTCCTTGTAAATGGATGTAAAAATCTATCCCTCTGAACAAGCAGAGACTGATGTCAGTGATGGAGAAAACCAGGTTGTCCTGAAAAACCATGTTCCAAAAATGTACAGATGAGGCTTCTAGCAATGGCCACAATCACAGCCTAATACAGATTGCCAGTTAGCCAATATACAGGAGGAGGATAATTCATAATCAGAAATCATACATATGCTTATTGTCACTAGTTGTGGGGGGGGGCAATTTTCATTTGAAACAGAACATGCAGGGAGGGGCAATTTAATTTCTTTCCCAGACATGATTCTGGTGAAATTGTTCTTTTATATCCTGCTGGAAGGTTTAGGAAGAATCCCTCTCCCCAATAAAATTGAAGGCAATAAAAACGGATCATCACTTAAATATGAGCCAGCAATGTGCAGCAGCAGCTGAAAAAGCTAATACAATCCTTGGTTGAAATGTGTTTGAATACTAGTAGCTTGAGTTGGTAGTTAAGTTGTTGGTTTGAGCTCAGAGCTTGGCAATTTGGTTGCAAACGTTTCTGTCACCATTTGAGGAGACATCGTCAGTGAGTTTTGAACAAGGGGGTCAATTTATTTTCCAGAGCACTAGAGGGCAGGACAAGAAATAATGGATAGAAACTATCAAGGAGAGAAGCAACTTGGAGTTAAAGGGAAACTTCATAACAGTAAGAACAATTAACCAGTGGGATAGCTTACCTTCAGAAGTTATTGGTGCTTCATCACTGGAGATTTTTAAGAACAGACTGGACAGTGACTTGTCTGAAATAGTATAGGGTCTCCTACTTGAGTTGGGGGTTGAACTAGAAGACCTCCAAGGTCCCTTCAAGCTAGTGGTGAAATCCAAATTTTTTTACTACCGGTTCTGTGGGCCTGGCTTGGTGAGCGTGGTGTGGCTTGGTGGGCGTGGTTTGGTGGGCATGGCAGGGGAAGGATACTGCAAAATCTCCATTCCCATCCCACTCTGGGGCCAGCCAGAGGTGGTATTTGCTGGTTCTCCGAACTGCTCAAAATTTCTGCTACTGCTTCTCCAGAATCTGTCAGAACCTGTTGGGTTTCACCCGTGCTTCAAGCTCTATTCTGATTGATTGTTTGAAAAAAGAGAACTTTATTGGGAATGTGGCTGAAATGGAAAGGCTTACATTTTCCTTTCTGCCTGATGGGCTCCAGATGAAAATTGTTGCCATCTGTAATGTCAATCATTAATGGAGGGGGAGAGAATCCTAGTATGATTTTTAATGGTAAATTATGCACTACTTATTATGGAACAATCTTCTCACTGAACATAAGAAGACTTTTAAATAAATCAAAGGCACACACACAACTAGGTTGTATATAGCCTATTTAAATCAGGGCTACTTTGTGTTCTTTTTCTTCGATATTTTTATTAAGAATTATATAAAATGATTAATTAATCCAAAAGCATATAGATGTGTGTATGTATGTATATGTACGCGCGCGCACACACACACACACATATACATATATGCACATACAGTGGTGAAATCCAATTTTTTTAATTACTGGTTCTGTGGGCATGGCTTGGTGGGCGTGGTGTGGCTTGGTGGGCGTGACTTGGTTGGCATGGCAGGGGAAGGATACTGCAAAATCTCTATTCCCTCCCCACTCCTGGGGGAAGGATATTGCAAAATCTCCATTCCCACTCCAGTCTGAGGCCAGCCAGAGGTGGTATTTGCCGCTTCTCTGAACTGCTCAAAATTTCCGCTACCGGTTCTCCAGAACCTGTCAGAACCTGTTGGATTTCATCCCTGTGCATATACATATATGTGTATACACACAAACACAAGTGCATGCACAGAAAGACACAGAAACAGACAGATAGACAGGCAGACAGACAGACAGGCAGACAGACAGACAGACACACACACACACACACACACACACACACACACACAGAGCATGGGGGGCGGGAATCCCTTCCCAAAAAAAGACTGTAAGAAAAAGAAACATCCTTCTCCATCCTCAGCAAGCATATTCAATATTAACAACTTATTCCTGTCTCTTAAAATACAGCCAGATGCATCTTCATTCCATACCTTACCTCATTTACTATAAATCATCTCTAAATCTTCAGGTCTCCTTATTGATCAGCAAAGGTCCAGTAAAAAATAACAACATCTAACAAAATAAATGCACAATCCTTCTTTGCATTTTATTTAAATGCCCCTCTTCTCTCTCTTAACCATTAAGCATTGCAAAATAAAAAAATTAAATGCTGTTAAAGATTACCAGAAATAATAACACCTTATTTGATGTAAATGTTACAAACGAATGTATTACACCGGTAAACATTTCCAAAAGAAAAACTATCCAATCCAAATGACTATTAAACATCACCAAAGATAGCAACTCATTATTTAACTGTAGTCAGATAAAAGAATTTTGTATTTTTCCTTCTTTGAGGGTTACATCATGTTCTTAGTTAATTGGTTAGTTAGATTCTCCATAAAAGACTGTTCAGTTTTTATCATATTGCAGTATTTTTCTTCATGATTAACTTGTTTGCTTATTTTCTTCTTTAATTTTCTTTTTTTTCTGATTCTCTACATATAGTTGAAACTCTTTTGCCCATATTTTAGTGCAAGAAGAATTGCTAGGAGGACTCTTAAAAGTTCAACTTCTGTTGGTTTATGAGATTCATTTGTCATATCAATTATGAAATCCTTAAAGTGCTATCATATGTAAAATGTTGACAACTAGCAATCATCTTTGCATGTCAGCAAATTACCTATTAGCAGGTGGAGAAATCAATTAATGAAATAAACCACTTACTAACTACTACTACATTTTCATTATCAAATGCAAATCCAGTTATACACAAGGCATTCAAGAGCGAAAAGAATGTACTTTTCAAAGATACATTCTAAGAAAATTGCTTTTATGATCATGACTTGCTTCAAGATATTTTTCAAAATTATTCCACAACCCTGAAACCAATAGCTGCTCTCTAATATCATCAGATATCCTGCCAGTGTTGAAACCTTCAGGGATCTAGTGAGTATTCAACATTTAGAAAAGATAATTTTGGGGAATAACTCATTTGAATGCTTGTAAGAGGGCATCTATTTCCCAAAGATTTGCAGACTTGCAGGGAAGAAAATTTTCTGTTTTCACACACACAGCACTCTACGAGTTCTCTCGTAATTCTAGAACAATCATTGTTATCTCCTGCTGGATTCACCTCAGTAAGTGGCTGATTGCTTAATTATATTCTGTCCTCCCTTCTTTTTGTGCATTGATAGCAGACTAAAAATATGCATAGTCAAAGCTGAGGCCAACAGGGTTAGACAGCTGTATTTATGTTTCTCCTTGGTATTTGAGTGCTTCTTCAGAATTTGCTGAAAATTAAAAATGCATTAGCCAGCATATGTCCCCAGCTTGCAGTATGCCACCAACATGGATGAGGTTGCCACGAATCACATGCATAGGATGTTACTTAGATGCATAACTGGGGGTGGGCAAAGGACCAGATCTGAATCATAAACCCTTGGGTGTGGCTTCCAGAGCCCTTTCCAAAAAGTAATCAAATTCACCTTTGTAATATGACAGAGGCAGGGATGGTTAAATCAGAAGGGACTCTCATAATAACTCCTCAGTTGATTCACTTAACTTTATTTAAAAGTAACCATATTTAGTTTGGGTTTAGTCCACCCACTTTTCCCTAGAGTTATATAACACATCAAAAGCAGCTAATCTTGGATCAATAGAACACAATTGGTATTTGCAAAATAAGCCATTATACAAAATAACAGAATTGGAAGAGATCTTGGAGATTTTATAGTCCAATACCTTGCTCAAGCAGGAGACCCTACCATTGTAGGGCTGTCCAATCTCTTCTTAAAAACCTCCAGTGATGCCTAAGCATACCTTAGGATGGCTCGATATGGTGCCTTTCCTCACACAACATTCTCAGGACAATAGCTGGCACAACCTAGCTATCCTCCATTTTAGCTTAGACTAGTTTGATCTGCCTGCCCGGTCCCTGTGTAACCTTCTTTCCTCCTCTATACTTTTATCAGGTTTATTTGCGCGTGTACCACATCAGGTGCTGAGTTGCTAGGAGACATTCAAGAGAAAGGTAGCAGTTGCTAAGTGCCCAAGGAACAAACGTAGTGACCAGGATGCTGAGAAGTAATTTAGTCAACTACCTCAGTCGTCCCTCAAGCAAACTGGTTGAAAGATAACCGCTGCTGAGGAACAGCAAGAAAAGAATCACCATTCATGGAATTTGGCTAACACTTGATCTCAGAACTTACAGAATTGACATAGAAAGCCAAGAATTATAGGTACCTTTCCCATTAATCCCAGATTTAATTTTTTTCCTCTTTTGCAACAAACCAGCTAAATATCACTGCTGGTGGGGGAAACTTTATTCCTCTCTTTCCTGGAAAGTGCCAGTTCCTCCTTCTATTACATTTTTTTACACACCACCCTACTTAATATATATCCCAAACGTATTTGTGTTTGTCTTCCACTATTTCAGTTCTTCCTGTGATGCTCCCACACATCTTGAGCTTCCTAGAGCATCTTCTGTTGCCATGGCACCCAAGAAGATACTCATGTTTCTCTCCCCATAGCCTGCCTGAACTAGGCCTGGTGGAATGGAAGGGTGCCCTGGTCACCTGGGCAACCAAGCAGATATATCCCACCCCACTGGATGATGCATTACCTTAGCAACCTACCTGCTGTTTGCCCACCCACCTGTTTATTCCTCACCTGGGTGTTTTCATAGCTCCTGTCCCTGGCCCAGGTCGTGCTCTTCACATCCCATATAGCAGGTTGGCATAATTCTAGTTTTGAAAGAACTTCAAATTCCAACATTGCCTCCGGAAACAAAAGGGTAGCTTTGGGGAGGCCCCAGCGGCAAAATGGCAGCTCAGATGCTAGAAACAAATCCTTACCATCACATTTAGCTTAAGAAACCATCAACAAAACCATCTACAATCATCAACAAAATCAGATCTCACTTTAGGCGCATAGTTGTGCACAGAGCATCAACCTGGGTGAGAAGCTATTTAGACCAAATGTCCTTGAGCAGTACTGCCATGGTTTAACAAAGGATGGAGAAGTTTGACACTTAGAGGAAAGCAAGAGCAAAGGCCTAGCTGATGGAAACTGACAGGGATTTTGTCATACATGAATGGGGAATGGACTGGGGTGTTTGTTTTATAAATTAGCGCAAGCCTGTTTAAGACTGGACTCTTCTGGGGTGTGAGTTTCCCATGTTACAAAGGAAGGAAATATGCCACTGATTTTCAGCAGTTGTGGGTGGGGGAGTTGGGGCAGAAAAGCTGCCATGACTCTACAACTGATCTCCGCCTCTTTTTTCTTCTTTTTTTTTTTTTGCATGCATCAAATATGCGATGCACATAGGGGGTGAGGCTTTAATCACATTATCACAGTAAACAACTTGATTTTATTATTTGCACCATGGTTCTCCTGGGGGGCGGGGGAAGGATATGGGTGGCTATATATATAAAAATAATTGGCTACACGATGTACAAGACCTTCAAGTTGCAGGCCATCTAGAATAAGAAAGACAGCCTACAGTTCCCACCACCCAATTTTTGGCTCCAGGACATCTTAAATTCATACCACCATGTGTTGTTGTTACATGCATGGCTTTTGTTATATCTTTGCAAAGCACACCACTGTTGGAATATTTAGAAAATCCTTTCCAGAGGCAGCAGATGGTACCTGGCTTTATATATCTTCCCTTTAAAAAGTCCTCTTTTTTAGAGGTGATGTAAAGGATCTCTAGAGGGATGTGGTGGCTCAGTGGCTAAGACGCTGAGCTTGTCGATCAAAAGGTCAGCAGTTCAGCAGTTTGAATCCCTAGTGCCGTGTAACGGGATGAGCTCCCGTTACTTGTCTCAACTTCTGCCAACCTAGCAGTTCGAAAGCATGTAAAAAATGCAAGTAGAAAAATAGGGAGAACCTTTGGTGAGAAGGTAACAGTGTTCTGTGTGCCTTTGACGTTTAGTCATGCTGGCCACATGACCACGGAGATGTCTTCTGACAGCGCTGGCTCTTCGGCTTTGAAACAGAGATGAGCAGTGCCCCCTAGAGTCGAGAACGACTAGCACTTTTGTGTGAGGGGAACCTTTAGCTTAAAGGATCTCTATGCGAACATATCAAAATGATAGCATTCTTTTCCTTTCCCAGCCAATCTCCCCTCCTACTTCGTAAACTCAACAGCAGCACCTAATATTCTGTATCTTTAGATGGACCATGACTAATGCTACAGACTTTCTGAGGGACAAAGAGATGCAATTAGATGAGACTTCAAGTCAGGACTCCCCTCTGAGGCGCTCCATTGGGCAGGGTAAGGTTGGACCATTTCTGACTGTTTCCATTGCATCCCTCAGGGTAAAATATTTTCAAGTGTTGGCAAAAGTGGTAAGCTTCCATACTGGTCAAAGTGTAAAATGTGATTCTACATGCACATTTGTATCCCTTGGATATTCAATCTGTTTGCATAGCAACCAAACAGAAGAATCCAAGCTGTTTGTAGGACTCTAGTACAGAAATATTTTACCGTCAATAATTACTGGTTAGCAAGACCTTGGTATTTGCTAGAAAGCTGTTTCTTTCAGTCCTGGATATTCTGAACTTCTCATAAATCCAGAGCTTAGAGAAAGGAATCTTTAATTGCTTCATTTATTCTAAGATAAAACAGAGTTCAGAAGCTTAACCCTGATGTGTCTTCCTTCAAATTAAGACTTTTTAAAATCTAATATATCATGCAATGGCAAACATGTCATACTCCAGCAAGATCATATCCAGAGTGCTTGGCCCCTTCCAACAGGAATATATTCTTATATACATATTTATTTATATCCCCTCTTTATTATTTTTATAAATAACTCAAGGTGGTGAACATACTATTACACCTTCCTCCTTCTATTTCTCCCACAACAACAACTTTGTGAAGTGAGTTGGGTTAGGAGGGAGTGACTGGCCCAAAGTCACCCAGTCAGCTTTCATGCCTAAGGCAGGACTTGAACTCACAGTCTCCTGGTTTCTAGACTAGCGCCTTAATATCTGGACCAAACTGGCTCCATTGTTTTGTGATGTGTGGAAGTACAAGCTCATATTTTTCCTTCCTCAATCCCTTTCAATCAGTTGCATCATCTCTTCTACCCCTGTAGGCATCAAGGAGTTGTACCAGGGTCAACAGCTCTGTGATATCACCCTGGTGGCTGATGGAAGAAGGTTTCCATGCCACAGGTAGGCAACTGTTGTCAATAAATGAATTAAAATCTTCTATACAGTTTCTGCAAAAGAGATTATTTGTCATTTCTGTTTCTGCTTTTCTGGCTTATTCTCAAGGTGATTGAATTTTTAAAAACTTCTCTTGGCACTCAAAGGGAATATGATGTTACTGCTGATACTGTTCATTTCTTACACATCATTCTGTCATTTTGAAGCTTCAGTAATTGCCCATGTCTCTGAAACCGGAAAAAAAATTCCTAAATAAGAGGAGTTCCTATGTAATTTTTTTCCTTTGGAATTTAATCCAAATTTAGGAAATGAGATGGAAGTGGGAAGCACTGCAGATCACTAAAAGAGGGTTGACCATTGAAAAATAAGATATTTGGACATACTTTTTCACCACTTCCTAATTAATGTAAAAATAGCACATTGCACCAGTGAGAATTTCAAAGTTCTCTTTTTTGAAATAAATTTAGTCCTCTTTAATCCACTTGAATAAAAACTAGTAAAATAATGTTTGGCTCTAGTAATAACTTATGATGTATTTAGGGGAAACTCATTATTGATGTTGAAATGAAGTAGGTCGTTCAAAAGCAGTAACTGTGAGAGGGACATTGGAGTCCTAGTGGATGATCACTTAAATAAGAGCCAACAGTGTACAGCAGCAACCAAAAAAGCTAATACAATCTTTGGTTGTATAAACAGAGGCATAGAATCAAAATCACATGAAGTATTTGTACCACTTTATAAATCTTTAGTAAGACCACACCTGGAATACTCCATCCATTTTTAATCACCACATTACAAAAAAGATGTTGAGACTTTGGAAAAAATGCAGAGAAGAACAACTAAGATGATTAAACACCTGAAGATTAAAACATATGAAGAACTGATGCAGGATTTGGGTTTGGCTAGTCTAGAGAAAAGAAGGACCAGGGGTGACATGATAGCAGTATTCCACTATTTGAAGGGCTGCCACAAAGAAGAAGGGGTCAATTTATTTTCCAAAGCACCAGAGGGCAGGACAAGAAACAATAGATGGAAACTGTTAAGGATATTCTTGGCTCATAACCGATGTTATGGGTTATTGTGTATGCACATGAAAGCGGCTGAGAGTGAATAACCACAGTTAATATACTGACACACTGAGTTGTGGTAGTCTTTTACTTTTTAGAAAAAAGTAAAGCAAAGTCCAATAACAATCCAAGTCATACACAGATAAGGCGATAGTTAAAATATCAATTCAGGGATATTCCAAGTACAAAGTCTTCTTACCAGTTGTTGTCATTATGCAATAAAACAGTTCTTCTTGAGTTTCAAACAGAAACAAGTTCAGTATTAAAACATTCAATAAATAGTAGAAAGCAACAAGTAGCAATGATCAAACAGTAATCATACAGAGAAAACAGGTAGAGAGTAACAGCACATAAGCAGATAAAATGGTAGAGTGTCCACAAGCCATGATTCAGGCTTCCCCTTAAGTACATTGGCTACAGAGCTTAGCCAATCAGGATACAGGATGATGCAATACAGTCTTAAAGCAATATAATACCTTTTGACAAACATGTATTGATAGTTTATATATTGCCTGACCAACTAGTTAGACAATAGCCATTTCCTAACAAACTAATCAAGGAGAGAAGCAACCTGGAATTAAAGAGAAACTTCCTAACAGTGAAAACAGTGGAATAGCTTGCCTTCAGAAATTGGTGTTACATCAGTAGAGGTTTTTAAGAGGAGACTGGACAGCAACTTATCTGAAATTGTATAGGGCAGTGATGGCGAAACTTTTTGGCACCGAGTGCCCAAACCAGAATCTGTGTGTGTGCGTGCATGCGTGTGTGCGTGCACGCATGTGTGCACTGGAGCCCCGGAAACTCAAAGACCAGCTGGATGGTGTGCATGTGTACACTTTTCCACAATGATTGTTTCTCTTTCTTTTGGTTGCTTCCCCTTCAGAATACTCTTAGCTTCGGTCAGCCTCTACTTCCAGCGCATGCTTACTAGCACCTTCAAGGAATCACGGGAAGGAGAAATTGTGCTTATGGACTTATCTGCCACTTGCCTCCAGAGCCTCCTGGATTATGTCTACACTGGGGAATTGCTGCTTCTTTGGGAAGAGGCAGAAGAACTGTTTACTGCAGCCAGTAGACTTCAGATTACTTCTGCCCTAGACATTATCACCAGGTATAGGAAGGAATCTAAATCAGTTTATTTACACGTCTAAATCAGTGAAAATGATTGTTTTTATAGGCCTTAAGATCTTGTTCCTGATGTGTCCCAGATAAATAGTTCCACATGAAACCCTGCTTCCGGGCATTGCCCAGAAATACCAGTAGTTTGGTAACTTCTGGAAGTATTGAGCTACCACACATACAATCCCTTGTGTTATTGGCCAAACTAGCTGGCACTGAGGGGAATTGAAATCCAAATTTCTGGACAATACCAGCTTGACTACTCTAGGATGCCAGCAGACTCTGTTTAATTGCTATTTTGCCACCGTATGTGCCATGGTGGTGCAGTGGTTAGAGTGCAGTACTACAGGCTACTTCTGCTGACTGCCGGCTGCCTGCAGTTTGGCAGTTCAAATCTCACCAGGCTCAAGGTTGACTCAGCTTTCCATCCTTCCGAGGTCAGTAAAATGAGGACCCAGATTGTTGGGGGCAATATGCTGACTCTGTAAACCGCTTAGAGAGGGCTGTAAAGCATTGTAAAGCGGTATATACCTGTATATACACTGTAAAGCGATAAGTCTAAGTGCTATTTCCAGTGCTATTTTCCTATGTCATGACAAAATCTGTTTGGGGGACCACACCATTTTGTAGGCATCGGTGTTTTCGTTGTTAAAGGTTCTATCAATCACATCCAATACCTCTTACAGATCTTTGTAATTTGCCTAATTCCTTTTAATTTATCATTTTTATTAAAAAGATAGGTGCACTACCCTTTGAGTATCAGAATTACTTAGAGAAGTACAATAAAATGCAATAAAAACTAATCTAATCAGAATGTAACAAGCAATTGCACAAAATGAGACTGAGTGTTCAAGGTTCATTTTTACCAAAGTCTATTATGTCTTCTCTCTTGCTCTTTATAGATTTCTCAGAGAAAGGATTTCCATGGAGAATTGTCTGGAGCTTTATGTGCTGTCATATTCCCACAATCACCGACCTCTACTCCACTCAACATCAAGTTATATTGCTTTTCACTTTGAGCATCTCTCAGAGCTTCCTGCTTTCTTGTACTTGGATGTTGGCATCCTGATTACCATTATTGCTTCAGAAATCCTGGTAGTGGACTCCGAACTGACTGTGTATAAAGCTGTGCGCCGTTGGGTCACCTATAACCTTGCTGAACGTCTCCCAAAGTTTGCAGCACTTATGGATTACGTTCGTCTTCCCCTTTTGACCCCAGAGGAACTTGCTGAGGTCCGGGCTCAAACAGAAGAATTTTATGAGTGTGTGCGTCTCCCTTGGGAGGAGCTTAGTGTGGAAGAAAGGTTGTGGGCAAGTAGAGGGCTGAGGCATGGCATGTATCATGAAGGAATGGTGTGCGTGGGTCTCCCAAAATGGAGCGAAGTCAATTTTGAGGATGAGAAGTTGGATTCTCACGTGCATTTCTTTGACCCTTCCATTGATCAATGGGATCAGCTCCCTGACCTAAAATCAGTGACATCTCCCAGTTGCATCTCCATGGGCCATAAACTCTACATATCTGGTGGGCAGCATTTAGATGGTTCATATTCTGACAACCTACTTGTATATGATACTCTTGGGGGCTGCTGGTCCCAGCTCCCCTCCATGTCTGCAGGTCGAGCTTGGCATGCTTTCCTCGTATGCAAGAAAAAGCTATACGTTGCTGGTGGCTGGGATGCTACAGGGACACTGATAAGTGCAGAGACATATGACTTGGAGCAAGAAGAATGGATGACCATCTCTAGCCTTCCCTTTGCACTGTCCTATTTTGCTTCCACAGCACTCAGGAGCAAATTATATCTCATTGGTGGGGAGATGGGTGACTCTGACTTGCCAGTTCCCCACAAGGGATTCCTCGTTTATGACGTCATATCAGGAGCCTGGTCCCAGATCCCCACAGCCTTGGAATTTTATGAAGCCAGTGCCGTCACATTGGGCAACAACATGTTCGTGGTTGGTGGGCTGTCTGGAGAGGATGCTCAAGGAATCCGTCATTTCACCCAGCGTTGTATTTGCTTGCTCAGAGATGGGACAATCAATCCTAACATCACTGTCCCATTGCTTCCCATAGCTATCTCTTATCCTGGTGTTGCCTGCTGGAGGAAGAGGATCTATGTCTTTGGAGGGGACAGCAACAACCGTTATTCCAGCATTATCCTTTTCTGGGAGCCAGGCCAAAACTCCTGGACCCAGTGCTCAGCAAGCCTACCTGATCCTAATTATGGGGCATTTGGGTTTGGCTGCATACCACTTAAGGTGCCTCGAAAACATATCCTCAGCATCTTTCATAGGGGATCTGCCACAGCAGTGACAGAGCACGCGACGTGCAGTTAGGTATGTATGCTACATGGCATCCCACCTACTTGGCAACCATGGCTGCTGTTTTTCACGAATGAGCTAATATTTAAAAGGAGAAACCGGAAGGCAAATATCTGGTGGTTATCTTAGATCACAGTATTAATTCAGACTTTCTCTATGGCCAACCAAATCAGCTTCTACTACCACTTTTGATTTGAACAAGTCATTTTTTGAGTCTCATCATTCCCCTTTCTATCTCCTTGATTTCTCCAAATCTTTGCCTCTGCAACCCACAGAGCCTAACATTTTGTAGATCTTGCCTCAATTCTCTGGGTGAGTTTGCTACTTCTATCGCAGTCAAACTGACATTCCAATTACTGCAGAAGGTGGGAAATCAGGGAAACGGCTGAAAATTGGGATGTTTTGTATTCTCTGGTTTATAAATATTTTCTGAAATGCAAAAACTTCAGCCAACCATTATAAACTCTAGCTGTACTTCAGACTGTTTCTTATCAGACTCCAAAATTGTGTACAGATCACACTAGAATCTCTGGACCAGCTAATATTCCGCTTCCCGATGCATTGTTTTGCTTCAGGTATTTTTAGTGCATCGTGTGAAATATTATATGAGAGTCCTACATCGCCCAGAAAAGGGTCCTTCAGAGAAAACAACAGGGCTAGAAAGGCCAAGGAGCAAGAAAGAAACAGGAGATGGCAGAGTATATGATCGTCATACCTTGAGCCACACTCAGTGCAAAGTCTGCTAACAGAGGAAGTTTATACGAGGAGAAGCAAAAGACTGGATCAATCACCATGGAAAAGGATGGAGCCAGGCAAAGCACCAAATCTTAAAGCAACATAGCTTCTGAACAGAAGCAGCATTTCTGACAGCTGATTGCCCCAATGATGCCTCTGCTTCCTTTACTATAACCAGCAGCTACTGACTATCCTTTGTGATAGTCATCTTGATAGGGGATGACAAGCAGCTGCAGCTGTTCCTTTATTCCATGCTGTCTGTTCCTTACCCATATTTAGGGGAAGGAAGGAGGCAGAGGGATCAAATTTAAAGTTATGCATTCAATTCATAGCAAATAGCACAGAAACAATTCTGTGCTAGTTTTTGAACCTCTTTGCCTGTTTGTGGACTTGTAGAATATTGGCCTGAAGATCAAGCTGTATCTGCCAGGAATATTTACTTGTTGTTTTGTGGTAGGCAAACTTGCTCAAGAGATCCAGGCTGATACCTCCTGAAGCGAGGCATTTTCTGCCAGCATTGTAACATAACATGCTGACCTAACTTTAGTTATGTGTGGTCGGCTTAAAAAAGACTCAGGTAGCAGAACCAAAGTAAATGCTAGCTATGACTGGATATTCATTGATCTAGAACTGTATTAAAACTGTTCTGAAATATCTTTGGGTCATGTTTTTTTCCTTCTGGATTTGTGGTGCAAATTGCCTGATATTAGAATCCCTTGTTATTCCATAGGACAGAGTTTTGCTCTTTTGTTCTTAGAAGTTCATTTGGATTCTCTCCCATGCCCCCCCCCACACACACACCAAGATTGCTATTTATGCACTACAATAAACCAATATGTGACATAAGCACATACTTGATTTCAATTCAATTCTTTCTAATAATGCAAATTGCAGAGCTTGGATCCTGGTAACATATGAAATGGGACTCAGATCCATTTCATGTGTATTTTTATTTATTAGATTTTCCTCCTACCTTTATCTATATATATATAAAAGTGAAAACAACTCGTGCATTAATCACGAAATCTCCAGAATCGTAAAGCCTACAAACTTGAAATTTGCCACATATGTTCCTCTTGGCTTCTAGGTGCTCACTAAGAAAGGATTTTTCAAAATGACCATCAGAGCATTAGTATTTCCTATATTACTATAACACGCTCTGATGCTAATTAGTTAGACATTCTACTCCCCCTCCCAACTTGAAAATAACTCTGGAGAGAATGGGATAGCATAGGACAGGCTTCTGTGGGGCAAGGCTGAGAAGGGGATAAGATATGGGAGGATTCTGTGGGGCAAGGCTGAGGGAGAGAAGGGGATAGGATATGGGAGGATTCTGTGGGGCAAGGCTGAGGGAAAGAAGGGGATAGGATAGGAGATGTTTCTGTGGGGCATGGCTGAGGGACAGAAGGGAGAGGAGAGGCCGATCGTAACTACTCATTAAGTTTCAAGCTGTAAGTGTCAATTTATCAAGTCCCATCACATAGTTTCATAGCGAAGCATGGGTATCCAGCTAGTTATTTCATAAGTAACTCAAGGCAGCAAATATACATAACAGTCCTTCCTCCTCCTCCTCTTTTCCCCACAACTACAACCCTATGAGGTGGGGTAGGCTGAGAGAGAGAGTGACTGGCTCAAAGTTACCCAGTCGGCTTTCATGGCTAAGTCAGGACTAGAACTCACAGTCTCCTGGTTTGACAGGTTTAACTCTTATAAACAAATAATCCAAATCACCTCTGTACTGTCTCAGAAAGAATTCTGTGTATTTGAAGACCCTAATTTAATAGCCCTTAAGGAAGAGTGAATGAGTTCAAAAAGCATTGGGGTCATCCCAATTAGCTTTTTGAGGACTACTTTGGTTGTGATGTCCTCACATCCAATTCTAGGTCAATAATACAGTACTAAGAAGAAGATTCATTTGTACTGAAGGCAAACCTTCCACAATCTCAACACTATTGTTTTTTGTAGCACATTATCAATATTGTCAGGAGTGGGCTGCTGGGGGTTCGCAGGGGTTCTGGAGAACTTCTAGCTAAGATTCTGTGCAATTCGGAGAACCCCCAAATCCCACTCCTGGGTGGTCCCTCCCATCCTGACCTGCCCCTCCCAGGAGCCCATTTCCAGCCTCCAGAGGGCCTCCGGAGCCTGGGGAGGCTGTTTTTGCCCTCCTCTGGCTCGAGGAAAGCTTCTGGAGCCCGTGGAGGGCAAAAACACCCTCCTCATCGTGGTGCAGGAGGCTGACTAGGCCACACCCACCACGGCCACACCCACCCAGCAACCAGGAAGAAAACCCCTTGTTAAAAGTTTTGACACCCCCCCCCCCGAATACTGTATTATATCTCTGCACATGAAGGGTAAAGAAAAAAGTGGATTGAAAGAGTTTGAATTCGCGGCAGAGATTTTTCCAAGCTAATCTGGGAAAGCAGAACACTCCATCCCAACAATTTTCTCCATTGTTGTCCAGTGCCAGACATAAACATGAACACTGAAAATGTTTTCTGGGTCACTTTGTAGTGAGATTCCCTCTTACGTTTTTTTTTTCCCTTCCTCTTTTTATGCACGTTCACAGGTCCCTAAGTCCCATCATCTCCCTCTTCCGTACATGTCAGGCACTGTTTTAGTTACCTAGATGACATTTAAGCCCAAATTCTGGAAAAAGAGAGGATTTAAGGCACTAGAATTCATAACGAGGGAAATGCAGACTGGAGTGAATCAGAGCATGAAGGAACCCACCCACCCTTAATGTGAAAGTAAGTAACATTCATCCAAGCTGTGTTATTTCCCATGGGATGCACCCATGAATGCAGGCGTATCTGGCTGTGTATTCTGCCTAACTAGTCAACCAAATAGGATGGGATAAGAGGAGATAGCTTGGGTCCAGTTGCCTTGGAAACAGCAACATTTCTCTTGCCACAGTTCTGCAATTAGTTCTGTAGACTTTTTTTTGCCGGGGGGGTGGGGGCAGAATCACCAAAAGGAAGCATTCATGATCACACATATACAGTATTCCTTCTTTTCTAACTCATCATTTGAGTCAAGCAGAACGGTTCCTCTTCCTGTTTCTCACAAAACTTTAAGCGCTCACCTTTCAGAAGATGGGATACATCCCTCCTTGGGTAGATTTCAGTGAGTCAAGTCCTAGCTCTCCTCGCTAGCAGTTGCTGAGAGGTTTCTGCTTGATGCTTTGAAATCTATGAAAAGGAAGAGCAGAAAGTGTAAATTCTCCCAAGCTTCACATATCGCCCTAAAATTGGAAATTAAAAAAAGGGGGGGGGATTTAGATTTCTCAGGCAGGCTTTACGTTCTGCATTTGCTTGTCCAGAAAGGCTGTTGTTCCTTACAGTGATTCAGGAAAGCAATATAAAAGTGAAAGAGGAATAAATCTGCAGCATTTAGAAATATAGACGATGTTGCCCACTGATCCTTCCGGACAAATCTCTGAGGATGACACAGGATTTATTCTACATCTCAAAAGGTGCAAAAATCTTAAAGCTTCCCAGTCTAGACTGCAGCCTGGATTTCCAAGTACCAATCGGATCTGGGACTAAAGGCAAGGACTGAAGGCTGGGAATTTGTGGGATTACAATTTAGACTACATAAAGTCTTTACATAAAGACCAAAACCCGCTTCTCAGCTTCATGTTTTCAAGATCTGCTTCATTAGCTTGAGAGCTGTCACAATGAAACCTTTTCATACACCAACACCTTTAGTGAATCCAAAAACAAAACAAAAAAAGAGGCACTCTTAAAAAAAAAACTTTATTGTGAAATATTGTGGTAGACAGAGCCTTTTCACTTTGGCCAATTAGCTGGGGTATTTTTTTCATTAATCATTTGGTTTTATTACTGGGTTGATATGTAATATATTTTCAATAGAATTCTTTATTGGCCAAGTGTGATTGGACACACAAGGAATTTGTCTTGGTGCATACGCTCTCGGTGTACATAAAAGAAAAGATACATTCATCAAGAATCATAAAGTACAACACTTAATGATAGTCATAGGGAAACAGTCAATATAAATCTTAAGGATACCAGCAACAAGGTTACAGTCATACAGTCATAAGTGGGAGGAGATGGGCGATAGGAACGATGAGAAGACCAATAGCAATAGTAATGCAGCCTAATGTGAATAGTTTGACAGTGTTGAGGGAATTATTTGTTTAGCAGAGTGATGGCGTTGTGGAAAAAACTGTTCTTGTATCTAGTTGTCTTGGTGTATAGTGTTCTATAGTGTCGTTTTGAGGGTAGGAGTTGAAACAGTTTTATATCCAGGATGCGAGGGGTCTGTAAATATTTTCACAGCCCTCTTTTTGATCTGTGCAGTATACAGGTCCTCAATGGAAGGCAGGTTGGTAGCAATTGTTTTTTCTGCAGTTCTAATTATCTTCTGAAGTCTGTGTCTGTCTTGCTGGGTTGCAGAACCAAACCAGACAGTTACAGAAGTGCAGATGACAGACTCAAGATCATACTTAAGAAGATATAACCTAAGAAACCTATCCCAATAAAAGCTACCTGAGTCCAGCTTTTCCTTTTCACTACTCTCCTTTCAGAAAACACTGTAGATATTTTTTCCATCTATCTTTTTAAATTTGTTTTTGGTCCTTTTCTTCTCTCTTTTTCCTTGCAGAATCCTTCTTTTCTTTGTCTTGCTTGCTTATTGACCATCATAGGGAGATGGTCAGAGCTGGCATTCCTCCTTGGTCACCATCCTCCAATTCACCTCCTGTGGCCAGCCAAGCTTCACCTCCCTGATGACAGTGCCTGATCACTGACAGCACCCACCACCAAGTACAACAGTAGGCAGGGGTTCCTAGGATTAGCACCAGGGGTGAAATCCAGCAGGTTCTAACAGGTTGTGGAGAACCGGTAGCAGAAATTTTGAGTAGTTCAGAGAACCGGCAAATACCACCTCTGGCTGGCCCCCGAGTTGGGCGAGAATGGAGATTTTGCAATATCCTTCCCCTGCCATGCCCACCAAGCCATACCCACAGAATCGGTAGGGAAAAATTTTGGAAATATGAATAAGGATATAGAGATAAAATAGATAGAGAATACATGGGAGAAAACAATTAGAAAAATAGATACTCAAATGATGTCAAGTAAAAGGAGAAAGGGCGGGGGGGCGTAAAAAGGGAAAAAAGTGAGATATAAAAATGTACGCAAATGATGAAATAAAAATAAATAATAATTGAATAAGAAATTGAAATGAGAATAAAGATAATTAGAAAATCGGGGCTGCTCAAATACCACTTTAGACTGAACTGAAAAGGGAAACAACAGGAGAGAGGGGAAGGAGTAGAGAGAGAGGAAGGGAGAGGAGAGGAGAGGAGAAAGAAGAAAGGGAAAAGGAGAGGAAGAAAAGGGAGGAGAAAGAGGAGCAGAGGAGAAGGTTAGAAGGGGGGAAGAAGAGAGGAGTGGGGGGAAAGAAAGGGAAGTAGGAAAGAGAAGGAGAGGAAGAACGAAGGAAGTAGAAAGGTTGGAGTAAAAATAAAGGGTAAAAGAGCAGCCCTGAAAAAGTAAAAATTAAAGATTAAAGTTAAAAGAGAACCAGTAGGGAAAAATTTTGAATTTCACCCCTGGTTAGCACCAACTCTGTCATTTGGCTAACCAAGCCTACCTCTTGATAGACCTGCTTGTTGAACCATCAGGATGCTCGTCTTTTCAGGGTTTCCTTAGCTTCAGGCTGGATGCCAATGCCTTGCTGGACTGTATCACACAACATTAACCATTAATTGTTGCAAGCCACAGAACGCCTTCTGGAGACCACATGTAGCCAGGAGCTGAATGTTTCGGTAATGGTTTAAAGCAGAGGTCTCCAAACTTGGCAACTTTAAGACTTGTGGACTTCAACTCCCAGAATTCCCCAGCCGGAAACTCATTGATGGAGCATCAAGTATACAGAAAGAATTGGCTGTCCCTAGGTTCTTGCATACATTGGTCAGACTTTGAGTGTTGTGTCTAGTTTGGGGCATGAGAATTCAGTTAGAGTGGAACAAATGCAGAGAAGGGGAATGAATATGATCAAGAGGTTTAGAAACTAAGTCCTATGAAGAAAATTTAAAGAATCTAAATATATTTTCTCTTGTGAAGAGAAGTCAACATGATTGCCAATGTCCGATGATGGATATGGCACAAGAAGAAGAAGAGAAGTTAGGTACTTTGGCAAGAGAGGGCAAAAAAACACACGTGCTTTTCAGGTCATTATTTGAGGAATACTTTAATCAAAACGTGGAGGAAAATTAAAGACAAATTTTATTCTTTGACACACACCCCCGGCTGGTCCCACTAGAAGCCATGACATATACCCCACTATACAACAAAGAAAAACATCTACCTTATTGTGAGCTACTTGATAGTCAAGGCTGTTTAAAAACAAGAACCGAACTAGCTCTGCAGGGAACGGAAGTGGATTGGTGGGCTTACGCTCAAATAAACTCCAAATATAAAAAAGATAAGGAGCAAGGAGGTATTGATAGGACCCTGCAGGACCTAGATAAGATTATATTAGGGAAGGAGGAAAAAATGTTAGCTAAGATTTACAACTTTTTAATAACCCATTGGATAGTGGACGAGATCGTCAAAAACTCGATGATTGCCTGGGGGAGGAATATTGGCCACTCAATCGATTTGGCGAAATGGGAAGAAATTTGGTCTAGACAATTGAAATTTTTGATGGCAACTACTTATAAGGAAACCTTGTACAAGATGATATACAGGTGGCACCTTCCTCCTGCCCGACTATCCAAAATGTTTCCTGGACTCTCCCCAAATTGCTGGAAGTGTGGGGAGTTAGGTACCTATTTCCATGTATGGTGGACTTGCCCCAGAGTAACTAAATTTTGGAAACTCATTCAGAGATGGTTGTTAGAAATTACTGGTTACAAACTACAACTGAAACCTGAATTTTACTTATTAAACATCAGGCCAGATAAAATAGGCACTAGCAAATGGTATCTGATTGTTTATATCACAACTGCGGCTAGAATATGCCTCGCCCAAAAATAGAAGGGTAAAGATCTACCGTCTGAAGATATGATTATAGGGAAAATCATGGAATGTGCAGAAGCCGATAGGCTAACTAAACTTTTAAGAGACCAAAAAGACTCTGCATATTTCCAATGTTGGGACCTATGGTATGTTTGGTTAGATAATAGAATAAAAAGAGGACAATGCTAGATTAGACTTTTATTTTTTATCTGTTTATTTAGATTGAATGTTATGTATTGTGTAATGTTCTCACCATGATGTTTGTCGATAAACTTTCTGTTTGTATTTTTTTTCAAGAAATAAAATTATTAATTAAAAAAAAGAAGAAGAAGTTAGGTAAGGATGGTGAAGGAAGAATAGGACTGCTATTCAGTTCCACCTCTTCTAATTGTTTTTTTTAATAACTTTTTTATTAATAATACAAAATTAAAAAAAACATTGGACATAGATATGACATCACTGGTTCCAAACATCTTCCGTTACTTTACAGTAATATTAGTACTCATATAAACATATAGTTCTTAAGGTTTGTTCATTATTTAAACCTTATATGATATTAATACTTTTCCCCTTATTTCTGTATATTTATTTATCTCTTAAACATACATTTATCTATAATAAAATCTATATTTTTGTTCTAACACTATACATTTGTCTTGGCTACCCTCTTGTTATCTATCCAATCATAAAAATTGTTCCCAGATTTTGTAGTACTTAGTTTTGCTTTTATCCTTGAGTTCCAAAATAAGTCTGTCCATTTCTTCTCATTCTTCATGGTGTAATTGACTTCATTTTATTTGGATAGGCTGTTAGCAACTGTTTCTTTAAATTTTTGTATACTCCTGCCATGGGCACTTTGTCTTTTCTCAGTCTCATGTTATTGTTTTCTAAATTCCCATTAGGACCTTCTCCAATTACTCTTGCTTTTGCATTATCGGTAATGCAATGTTTTGTCTAAATTTATCATTGCCTTCTCTCAGGTAGCAGGCAATTCTTTGTTTCACAGCTATAGTAATCATCCCCGTGAATTTTTAAGTGCAGAAGATAAAAATCTGTTACACTTCAGCTTCTTCTCCACTTATTTGCATTGCATCGGCATTGCCTTTAACAGGTTTTTTTTCCAAAAAAGAAATATTGATCAGTAAAAATGTCACACAAAAGTAGGTCATTGTCTGTTCTCTATTGTTCCTGGGTTTAGGACA